CACCTTTCTTAAACAAAAGGAAGAGGAAGCTTGTAGTGTGAGCAGCTATCCTGTGCAAATATGAAAACTTCCTCATAGACACACTCCCTACATTTTTTGTCACCTCTGATGACATTGAGTTGCTGCAGCTGTCTGACTTGTTACAGTTAGTGTCATAAAGGCCAGGGACTTGTCTGTCTCTCCCCAGGAGTCAGTAAGTGGGGGAAGAGGAGGCAGGTGTGGATTCTGGCGGACAGTGCCATGGTGGTGGGCTGGGGCCACAGGGACTTGCTGTGTTTTCTGAGACGGCCCAGTGTCACTGGGTGGGGTGGGTTTGGGAAGTACCCTTTTGTCTCTGGGGCTGAGAGGCTAGTCCCAGACCTGGACGTGAGAACAAAGAGCAGCCACAGTTCCTCATTGCAGTGCGGGGCTTCCAGTCCAGACCTGAGCGTCTGGTCAGTCTAACCACAGACTCTGCAGATGGAGTACGCAGCCCCAGTGCCCTGGCCTTAAGGGCCTTTGGAGAAGTCTGTTCTGTCCATGGCTATGTCCCCGGTACCCAGAGCAGTCTCTGCCCATAGTATGTGTTCAGTGAGTACTGGTGTATTCTAGAGAGACCTCCTACGGTCCGGAAGCCGAAAGACCTGAGTGTGAGTACCACCTGCAGCTGCTTGTGGGAAAATCACCACCTTTCCCAAGACCTGATTTCTCCTTTTCAAAAGGGTCAGAGGGTTAGTGCCTGCAGGGCAGTGATCTCATGAAGATCAGCAGAGTGTGCAGCACGGTGTGGAGGTGCCCCACAGTCAACGGCTCAGCCAGGTTGGTGGGTGGGGACAATTTCCTGAGCATCTCACAGAGACATTCATCTCCCTCCTCCCTGGAGGACCCCGCATGGGCACTCACAGCGCTTGGCACCTGCCCTCTTGGAAGCTTCTCGGAGAAGGAGGGTCTGGAGCAGAAGATTCAGTGCCCTTGCTGTCAGTTTCCCAGTGCATAGCCCTCCTCCACAGCTGCTGGCGGACTGACTCTGCCAGCTCAGATCAAGGAGGCATGAAGAGCCAGTCGGGAGTGTCCCAGACTGCTACCTGGGAAGGCAGAACCAGGAAGGGAGAGAAAGCAGGGTCAGAGAGTCAGGTGGGCCTGGGATCCCTGCTGACAGCTGTGGAGCCTTAAGCAAGGTGGTATTAAACTGCCCCGGGCCTCAGTTTCCTTCTTTGTAAATGGTGATAAATAGAATTTTCCTTATAGGGTGTTGAGAGAACCATAGTGAATCCGAAGTCGTAAACACAGGGCTGGCACTTAATAAAAACAGTGACTCCTCAAGGTCTGGACTGTCACCGGGGCAGATGGTCTGAATGGAAGACGCAGAGTGAGAAGAGCTGTTGAGAAGAGAGAGTCTAAGTGTTCCGATGAAGCTGCTGGACATCCAGGCCCCATTCTCCTCTTCTAGCCTCATCCCAGACATTCTCTGTCCCCTTTTGCCCCTTTACAAGCAGCTGTCAGGGAACCCTACCATAGAATGTAAGTCCTGTGACACAGGAATATAAGCCAGAGGTGTATGCTTCCCTTCAGTTGTAAAAGGAAAAGACATTGTCCTATGAGTCCCTCCTGTTGCCCGGCAGGACTACTGGCATAACCCTGGTTTTGGGGGCGTGGACTGGGAAGCTCAGGTTCCAAGTTAATTAACCAAGCGGCATAGTGAGGCAGGTAGCAGCCAGGATGCAGCCATCCACACTCCTGCCCTTCTGGGTGAGGGTGGTTTGGGAAGTGCCCTTTTTGTCTCTGGGGCTGAGAGGCCAGTCACAGACCTGGAATTGAGAAGAGCAGCCACAAGCAGCCTATGACTCTGGGACCAGGTCAGAGACAGAGGTGCAACAGTCACAGGTCATTCACTCAGTCGGCCGGGCTGGGGCAAAGCACCATGTCCAGCAGCGAGGAGTCCACAGATGGGTGTTTGCCCAGCGTCCCTGGAGTTACAGTTGAAGCGAAGGCGAGGGAGGCTCAGAAGGCCCAGAGGATAGCCCTGCAGCAGGGAAAAACCCAAAGCAAAGATCAGCTCAGCATTTCTGATACACGGGATGCTGTTTTGGGTATTTCATTATGAGTTAACATATTTATTCTCACGAACTTCTTATGAAATAGGTTGTGTTGTCATCTCCACTTGACAGATGAGGACCCTGAGGTGAAGAAACTTGCCCAAGGTCACAGCTAGTGAGCAGCACAGCCATGATTCCAAATGCAGGCTGTTTAATCCCAGAGGCCTTGCTTTTAACTGTGTCATTTTTCTGCTTCTTGCAAGTTGAGACTAAAGAGAGACATGAGGAAGACTCTTACTGGGGACTCTGAAAAGGCACCTTACCCGGGGGAGGGGAGGAGTGGGGCCTTGAGAGTGAGGGCAATTGAGTACTGGGGCTGGGACTTAGAGCTTCCAAGATTTCTACCACCTCCCACTCCCTTCAAGGTTTGTAAAGCCGCCTCCATTTGCACTGGGAGGGCAGGGGCTGCCTGGGGGAGTGTGGGGATTGTCCTCAGGCCATTGGCTGAGAGTGGCATGCCACTGACTTACTCCTCCAAGAGACATTTCCAGTACCCTCCATCCCTGCCCCCTGTATGACACGCTGGGGACGTTCCCCCTCAAAAACAAAACTCAAGCTCTGTCCCTGATGTTCATGGTCTACTGAAAACAGAATTACAGCTGACTGTGAATGACCTCTGACCGAACTGGGGGGACACAGAGAAGTGACTTGCTTTGCCAGGGAGGTCCTGATAGGCTGTCCAGGGAAGGTGACATTGAGGCTGGGACTTGAGCTGGGTGTTTGAAGGCAGGAAAAACGTCAGGGCAAGGACTGAAGTCCTTGGCCTTCCTGGGGGACGTTTATTCCACATGCCTCGGGAAATATGAAATGGCCTGGGAGCGCATTTGCTGGGGGTTGGGGGTGGGCGGAAGGGGACAGAGGGCATTGCCACCGACAGGCGGGGCGTCCCAGGGCCTCTCCCCGGGAGCGGATGAGCTCAGACGCGGCTCACTCAGCTGCGTCCAGGCACAGCCGGTTTATGACCTAAGAGAATGACAACCCAGGAGCAAGTCGGGATGACAAAGACGTCCAGAAGGACACGCGCTTTTATGTAACAGACCTCTCAGCTGGCGGATCGCAGGAGGTTGGCGCTCTGAGCTCAGGCGAGGAGAAAGTACGGCGCCCCTGCCTTACTCTCTTGTAAATACGAGGGGACAGCAACGCGACATAACTTAAAGAAGTCCACGGAGCTTTAGAGAGCAGGACGGTCCCGCTGCTTTTCCTCAGAGCGCGGCTGGGGCGAACTGGGGCGCCCTTCCCAGCTCCAGCTCGACCCTTGTCCCCTCTTCCCAGGATCACTCGCTGGGTGACCTTGGGCGAGCCACTTGACCTCTCTGAGACCCAGTTTCCCAGTCCGTGCATCTGGAAGGCTGTAAGAGGGTCGTGGGGCTCCCCACTCGACCCTCAGGGCCAAAGGTGGGTGCCAGGCACGCGGGAGAGGCCCTTGAAGCACCCCTTCTCGCAGACGCGCGGTTAGTCCCGAC